TCTGGCAATCAAGCCATCAAATTCCGAGCAACGAAAGAAGAAAAAAATTAAAGAAAAAACACTTTCATTAAACTAAATTTTTATTGTGCCACCAAAGGCAAGTTTATTTATACCCATTAAAAATTTACAAATGGATATGCTGGTTTTAGGGAAGTCTATGTAACAGAATAAAGGATCTCCTAACACTGACAGGCACTTGACTATCTATTTTTTTATTAAATGTATATCTATCCATACTTTATTTTTGAGAACTGAAAATTCAATATAAGCTCATTTAAAAAAAATCGATAAATATCGATATTTTTCTTTTTCGTATTATAACATGACCATTCGAGGAAAAGATACTCTGATCTGAAGATATCGATTTCTAGATCAATTTCCCAGTGCTTAGGGTATCTCATAGTCCGGCACACACGACTAGAGTCGCACTCTGAGTTGTGCATCTTTTTGGCATATTTTTGGAGTTCAGATGGCGGCTCTCATTTATGGCGGTCAACTATAAAAGTTTGACCCAGTTTCAGACGGGACAAAATTGCTACAAATTACACATTTTTTCGGGGCGCAAAAGTGTGCCGCACACACGCGCGACAAGGCAGGGGCGACAAGCAGACAGAGATAGCGAGTGGTAGAGGTTAAGGCAGCGACCGAAGGAAGCGCTGGGGGGATATACACTTTTACTCATTCCAATTAAGTTGCAGCGCGATGCAGCAGATTAAAGTAAATAATATCAATAATAATTACAGCAGCGGCAGCGGCAGCAGGCAACAGGCAACAGGCTACAGCAACAACGTCAGCAACAGCAGCAACAGCAACAGCAACAATAAGTCATAAAGTGTAATCACTTAAAGACGAAGAGGAAGACAAATGAAACGTGTTATCGTTTATCGAAATGCTACAGTCGGGAAAGCTCTGTCCAATTCGCGTCGCTCCTTATCGCTGTTATCCCTTTGATTTATCTCCCCACTCACACGCCGCACTAATTGCATTCATAATAAACAATTTCACAATTATTACAGCTACAACAACCGTAGCGAGACAAGTTGGCAGCACTGACCCGCAATTTATCGATTGTTCCTCCCCTTTATCAGATGCTACGTGCTTCTTATTAGCTTGTCGAGTATACGCTTCGCACGAGTCTCTAGATTACGTCACGAAATGTAAAACACCTGGTAAATGTGAAACATCCTATATCCTATATCCTATATCCTATATCCTATATCCTATATCCTATATCCTATATCCTATATCCTATATCCTATATCCTATATCCTATCCTATATCCTATATCCTATATCCTATATCCTATATCCTATATCCTATATCCTATATCCTATATCCTATATCCTATATCCTATATCCTATATCCTATATCCTATATCCTATATCCTATATCCTATATCCTATATCCTATATCCTATATCCTATATCCTATATCCTATATCCTATATCCTATATCCTATATACTATTTCCTATATCCTATATCCTATATCCTATATCCTATATCCTATATCCTATATCCTATATCCTATATCCTATATCCTATATCCTATATCCTATATCCTATATCCTATATCCTATATCCTATATCCTATATCCTATATCCTATATCCTATATCCTATATCCTATATCATATATCCTATATCCTATATCCTATATCCTATATCCTATATCCTATATCCTATATCCTATATCCTATATCCTATATCCTATATCCTATATCCTATATCCTATATCCTATATCCTATATCCTATATCCTATATCCTATATACTATATACTATATCCCTATATCCTATATCCTATATCCTATATCCTATATCCTATATCCTATATCCTATATCCTATATCCTATATCCTATATCCTATATCCTATATCCTATATCCGATATCCTATATCCTATATCCTATATCCTATATCCTATATCCTATATCCTATATCCTATACCCTATATCCTATATCCTATTTCCTATTTCCTATATCCTATATCCTATATCCTATATCCTATATCCTATATCCTATATCCTATATCCTATATCCTATATCCTATATCCTATATCCAATATCCTTTACCCTATATCCTATATTCCATATTCCATATTGTATACTCTTTATTCCATGTTCCATATTCCACATCCTCCATCATTCCATCACTTCCCAGCCCTACATCCGGAAGAGTATATCCTCTTTCCGTCTCCGCTCAAGCTCCCCTTTACATTTGCTGCTGCTACTCTGGCTGCTTCTTTCTTTCTTCTCTCTGTTTTCGTAGGCCAAGTGGAAAATTTGTTGAGAGGCAACTCTTATCTGTCCACTGAGAACTGCGAAATTTTACAATACAAAAAGTGCAACAAACAAGTTGGCAACCTTATCAAGGCATTAACATCTGGCAACGCAGATGAAGACATACGTTCTGACCGACTGAATGGATGATGCCAAAGAGCTTTGCCGAATAGTTGCAAACTTATTTACATTTAATTTGCATATTTTAAAGGGTATCAAGAGAAACACACACAGAGAGTAAGATAGGGGAAGAGAGAGGGTGAAGTGAGTGAGAGAGAGCAGGATATGGTTTAAGGATTTTGCATATTTAGCTGCCAATAATCGAATATATTAAAGTCGAAGCTGCGTTGCCAAAGAATCGCAAAGTGCTTAAATGCAATGTATACCAGTTGCAAAATGTTAGTTAAAAATTTTAAATAAATATATCATTAAGAACGAAAATGGGGACCGTTACAGAACAGCTTGAAATAATTTCGTATATAATTAAAGAAATTATGAAGAGAACAACTAAAATATATATAGTAGTTCTCTATAATACCATTGTTATACTACTGTTGTACTATTATACTACTATTGAAGCTAGGTTATACTACATTAGACTATTGTTATACTATTATACTGTTGTTACAGTACTATTATACTACTGTTATGCTACTAACAGACTAGTGTCATATAAGTTATGCTAATATTATAATGGTATATAATATCGTACTGTTATTTTGTTATATTACTCTAATACCTTCTCTTTATTTTAGCTATACTTCTATTACTGCTCTTTTATAATACAAAACTATTACTACTTCACTACTATGCTACTATTATTTTAATATCTTACAGCTACTTCTAGTCCTTAATCTATCCTAACATCTTAGCTAACTACTATTTCCAGCTAGAGTAGGCCCATTAATATTCACATATACTAACATTTTTGCCAATGGGTATTGCTTAGCCCAAGAACTAACGAACTATGCAAATACGCACAATTTGCAGATCAACCAAAGCGACAAAGCCGTTATCAAAGATGTTTTCATTTGCTGCACGTCTGTGTGTGTGTTTATATCCTTGTATGTATGTGTATTTATATCTGTGTTTGATTGCAGCAGATCTGTTGTGGTCTGCGGCAAAAAGTTGTTGCATTCGCTTATCGAAAATGTTGTTCTTGGATGTTTCTGTTGTTGCTGGCTGTTGTCCTGCTGTTGTTGTTCCTGTTGTTGTTGTTGCTTAAGCACACATTGATAATCATTAGTTAAGTTGTTAACTGATTTCGTTTAGAGATTTGTCAAGACCAAAAGAGCCAGCCAATCGGTGTCTGGCTCAACTCTTCTTCTCCACTTAACTTTTTCGCTTTTAGCAAATATTTTAATGTGATTTATCGACAACAGCTACAACAACAACTGTGCCCAACAACAATAAATCAAGCACTCTGGCAACTCTAATGAGACAGATTGCTCCAAGAAAGAGACAACGTAAAGGTGAGAGAGAGAGAGAGAGCGAGGGTAAGAGCGACAGATCATAATCTCAGATCCACGCAACTGAGCTCAGCCCGATCTTCAGCTAAAGCTCGAAAGATATAGGGCCGCCTGGTGGTCCCCTCAAATTACAACAAATGATATTTTATTGCTATTTGATGAGCTTCGAACTGTGCAATTGCTTGGCCAATAAATTTCCAACAAGCTGACCGAGCACATCCAGCCAGCTAACCAGCCCGGCAATTGCACTTATTAAAACCCCCAACGCTCATTAAAGTTTTGCTCGTTTGTTCTTTGGCCCACCAACAAAGTTTTTCGATCCATAAGATATATATATGTATATGTATATATATTGCATTTTTTGTTATGTGTGGGAGCTGCGAGTGTAGTTCCTAATCCCTGACAACAGTAAAAAGTGAGCCAAAATGCGCAGAGTGCGCGACTAGAATATACCCTGTATGCAATGGCCTAGGCTGCAATATGCTGAAAACGTTTAAAATATCTGTTAGTTCAAGCTTTTATAATCTTAGAAAATAATTGCAAAAAATAGTTAGATTGCTCGACATTGTTGTGGAAATCTTGAAATGGAACTAGACATAGTTGGCTGAAATTTATTTATATTATATCTATATTATCTACACATTTATTTGTCTATAATCTATTTGCTATCTGCTTGCCATTATGAATGTGTCTTAGCGAACCATCGAACCGTTGCCAATTGGCAATACAGGGTAGCCAAATAACAACACATAAATAATGCGTACATTTCGAAGTTCAGCAACTGCAAAAATTCATCTCTTACTTCGCTCTTCTTTTTTTACAATAAATCACGCTCAACGGCGGCCCAATTAAGCGCCACAAGAAGATGAAAAGAATCTGCAGTCCTCAATTTGTTCTGGCTTCAGTTTTTTTCGCTCTTCTTCTTTCGTGTGCAACGGTTCCCGTTTCCAGATGCAACTCAATCAGCTGACGATTTAAGAGCAGATCATCCCAATTGCTGTGCAGAATATGATAGGGCAATAAAAAAAATGATATTTAAGTCAATAACTCAAGTAACAAAAGTAGCTCTAGATATTACTCAAGAAATATTATATTAATATTTAATAAACTTTCAGTTCTTTGAACGACTTTTGTATCTTATAATTCATCATAAGATTTTAAGTAAAGATCAATTGATCTCAGGTCTTAAGGTTCATCTTCTCATAGACCTCTTTGCCTGTTAAGCTCTATCTAAATCGTTCATTTTAATTGCTTAGCATATATACATACTTTATTTCAGATCGATATTACTGCATATTAGATCAGTACAGAGATTTATGATAATAATTTAACAAAACAAAAAAAAAAAGTGAATAATTAGATACGTAATATTCTCTCAGTTAATGTAGTCCAAGACCTTCCAAAACACAGCCAACAATGCAGCAAATTCGAGAAGGCGCAACTGCTTCCGGTTCGACGCCCCACCGCCCGTAGTATAGTTCATTCCACTGACTGAAGCGAATCCAATGCGATTTTTGCCCAAATCAAATTCCGAATAATACTGCCCCAGAAAGACATCGCCCAGGATCCAAAACTGTGACTCCATGCCACTAACGCCCAGTATGCAGCCGGTATCCGTTGAAATGATATACGCCGAGTTGGGTACACCGAATACCTTTCCACCAATGGTAAACAGAAAAGTTGGCATATTCGATGTGTTTGAGCAATCAATAGTATCATCCGTATTGACTCCCAGCACAACTTTAATCTTATTGTAGATATCCGTGGGTGCCACTAGTAGTGAGGTGCCCGTATCGGCAATAGCCGCGCAATTGGTGCACAAAACTTGACCATTTAATGTCGCACTGTCCATATTGAATTGCCAGTAATTCTGTTGCGTAATATCCGCATAGGTCATGCTGCCTTTATATAGCGATGGATCCGATCCACCAAATATCAATTCACCGCCCTGCTGTGAGGTGCCGTTCCTTGCCAAATAGAACGAGAATACGGGATTTGCGATCAGACCCTGTGCCAACATATTGTAAAACGGCGGCACCACATTATCGACGGCCAAACTCGCATAGCCCATGCCCAAAATGCCATCGAAGCCGTCTCTCACAAATGTATTATTCAGTTCAGTGGTGGCTAGGCCAAATGTTTGATTCGCTACCACCAGGCCACTCACATTGATCACATCGATTCCCAGAAAGCCCGACATGCCACCTGAACCGTATTCCAATGTTATCATCTCGTTGGTATACCTATAGGTGGTCGACAATGTCGGATTGAAGCTCATGTGATCCTGGCAAGATGGGCTCGCGCATTGAATCGACGGCACCCACAGATTCGATGAGCCCGTATCGAATAGCACATTGAAGGTCTGCGGTGGTGTTCCAATTGTTATAATGCCATAATACTCCATATTCACGTCGTTCACTAGCTGCTCCTTGGGCAGATTTGTCGTGTTCGTCGTAGAGTTGGCTGCTGCCGTAGAAATTGCTGACACTGCACCGTATTTGGCACGCACAAACGCCACCTCGGCCCTGATGTTGTCTTGTGTCTTGACGAAATTCTTTTGCCTATAGATGGGCACACGATGCAGGTGGGCGCCGGCTTGCGCCAGCACCAGGGCGTACAGCAGTAGCATTAGCTTCAACATGCTGTTCCAATTACGTTTTTATTTGCTATACTAAAGTTGAAATGCCAGATACCACGCACTTTTATATGACCGGCGCTTGTTTGCTTATCGCACCGGGCAAATCAATCAAATCGCTGAAAATCTGTGACATAGATAAGATTGCCTATATCGAAAAAACTTAAAAGAGAAACTCATTGATGGCATTTTAAGCGCCCTAACAAAGTCCCCCAAAAATGAACTCAGAGAGTGAGAGAGAAAGAGAGCGTTCAAACAAGTGACTCGCATAGATACCGTGTGCATAGGCTATGAGTGGATATAAGAAGCTACATACTATAAACTTCATTTATGAACATAGGCAAATTTATGAGTGAATGAGCTGCTGATTTTAGAGCTGATTGAAGTACGTCGACTAACTGTCTATGTGATTGTATTTCGATTGAGTGATTGATTAATTGATTGATTCACAGGCTAACAGAGTAACTGAATTTTTGTTGAAGCTGTAAATGAATAATTGATTGATGATTAATCGATAATTGATGATTTATTGATGAATGATTGATGATTAATTGATCAATGAATGATGATTGATTGATGAATGATTGATTGTTGATTGATTGATTTATGATTGATTGATTTATGATTGATTGATTGATGAATGATTGATTGATGATCGATAATTGATGATTGATGGATGAGGATGATTGAGATTGATGACTGACAGTTCGATCAAATGGCTGATACTCTTAAGACTAACTGATTGATACATCGACTGAGTAAATCATATTTTGGCTTAAAATTGACTGATTGATGGATTGACAGTTTGAGTGAGCAATTACTGAATTATTCATTGATGTTCTCTAGGCAGGATTGATTGACTGATTGAATAATGGACTGTCTACATGATCGTTTGAGTTTTTATCCGACTGAACAATAAACTGACTGATTGATTAAATAACTAAATTAGTGATTGCTCACATAAATTTTAAAATCTTATTTTCATTTACATACACAAGCGCAACACCAATATACCTTTCATCAGGCCGCTCACAATACGGGGTATCTCTCATATCTAGTAGCAAATGAGTTAGACAACAGCACTGGAATGGTCAACTCAAACTCTGTTTGTCATCATTGATGACGTGGCACTAGAAGCACAAGACACTGCAGGGCGAGCTTAGTCAGAAGTCTTTAAAAATGAAAACATTATAGAAGTTACCAAGGCGAAATCATTAGGCACGAAAGCCATGAAAGTTTTATGCAGTTTTACATTTAATGTTCAATAAATAATTTATTTCCGATCAATAACTTATTGCAATGGGAAATTTGATGGGTTTTGAAAAGGTTGAGTTGTATGCCTAAAATAAAAAAATTAGATACCAATAGGCCTACAAAATTAGATACCAAAGCCAATATTAAAAGCTAGCCGGTTTGGTAAACTCCAAAATAGTAGATAGAAAATTATCTATACAAAATAAGCTTGCTTGATTCACGAACAGCAAAAAGAAATACCGATTAAAAAGCAACATTAATTTTTATAATTTAAACGAAAAAAAAAAAGAGAAACAAAAAAATTGATATTACAAAATATTATAGATATACGTTAGTCAAGACTAACTGAATATAATGCTCTATGATATCACTTTATTTGCTTTCACGGAAGGTTCGTTTACTGTTTAAGCGACTGGGGCGAAGCCAATGCGGTTGTTGCCCAAATCGAACTCGGTGTAGTATTGTCCAATGAAGACATCGCCCAAGATCCAGAAGTCGGTGCCCATGTACTGGACGCTCGACATGCACTCGCCATCGGTCTGGATGATGTAGGCCGAGGGGCTCAGGTCGAAGTTAGTGCCACCAATGTTGAAGGTGATCACGGGCAATGAGCTGACGGTGGAGCAATCGACAAGACCCTCATCATTGACATTGAGGATTTCATTCAGCAGCTCGTAGGCGTTGGCTGGAGCCACAAGCAGAGAGGTACCAGTATCGGCGATAGCCTGGCAGTTGTCGCACAAGGAGTAGCCCTCAACGGAGGCACCGGCCATGGTGAATTGCCAATAGCCCTCCTGGGAGATGGGCACATAGGTGAAGTCGCCGCTGTACAGAGAGGAGTCGGAGCCGCCGAAGATCAGCTCACCACCCTGGCTGGAGGTGCCATCGCGAGCCAGATAGAAAGAGAACACAGACTGATCAATCAGATCCTGAGAGACCATGTTGTAGAAGGGTGGCACAACATTGTCCTGAGAAATGGACTGATAGCCCATGCCCAAAATACCATCGAAGTTGGCGTTGTTGAAGTTAGTGCCTGGCTCGTTGGTGGCCTCAGCAAAGGTCTGCTTCTTGATGGACAGTCCATTCACATCAACAGTATCGGTGGACAGGAAGCCAGAGAGGCTGCCAGTGCCGTATTGGATGGAGAAGCTCTCGCCGTTCGCTTCGTAGGTGGAGGAGGCGCTGGAGTCATACTGGTTGTGCACCTCGCAGGCATAGCTGGGGCAGTTCTTGGATGGCACCCACAGGTTGGAGGAGCCCGAATCGAACAGTACCTTGAAGTTCTGTGGAGGAGTACCGATGGTGATGGCACCATAGTAGGCCATGTTCAACGAGTTGGAGAGCTCCTCCTCGACAGCGCGACCCACTGGCAGGCCATACTTGGCACGCAGATGGGAGAGCTCAGCCTTGATGTTGCCTCGTGTCTTCACGAAGTTCTCCTGCTTGAGAACGGGCACACGGTGGAGCTCGGCGCTGGCCACGGCCAGGACCACAGCAAGGACTGTGATTGATTTCAGCATATTTTCAATTGGTGTCTACTAAATTTCGACTAATTCTAGACGAGTGCTTAGTCTGATATTTATACCAAAACGAATTTACTATCTATCCCACGATAAGATTGTTAATATCTTTAAGCTGATGAATTGCAAATACTAACAAAAAACAAAATTTAATAAAATCGATTGCCCTCACTATCTACCAGATTGCTCACTCAACAAATGACACTCGATAGCTTCTGCGGCTGTGTATCAGAAAATAAATATATATTTGCTTTAAGAGGGCATTAGTTAAAGCTCTCAGCATTATCGCAGGGTCTTTCTAACACTCGAATGATGGAAACTCCGTGGCACTTGAGCCTACACACGTCCATGGGCTGTCACCAATCTTTCTAGTATTACTTGTCATGCTCTTTCTTCATTTAGATTTTATAGACAGTCGAATCTGATTCCTCACATAATTGATCGCCTATTCTGATTTAACGTGTCAAAAATTATATTTTCAGCCAACAATGAAAATAAATATTCGTATGTATATATATAAAAATATAAATGTAGTTAAATTTAAAAATATAAATTAAATTAAAATAGGTATATTGCTATCATAATAAACAAAACCAAAATTCCATACTATTTCTTGTGATGAATTGATCAAAGTTTATAGTTTATATGGAAATATTTGAATGAAAATAAAAATATAGTGGAATCCCGATAATTCGAAATGGCAAGGGGATCACATTTACAGAGAAATTCAAATTATTGAGAATTATTGAGGACGAATTTCATTTAAGGGTATCGATTTTTTTCGATTTATCGCAACCTTCGATTTATGCGGGGTACGAATTATCGAGACTCGACTGCACTTATAGACAAGAATGACATAATCTGAAGAAGAATACTTATACATATAAAGAAGAAAGAATTCTTCTAAAGAATTCATAGTATAATATGAAATTTTTTTATTTTATTTATTTATTTATTTATTTATTTTTATTTTGTTTTTTTTTTTGCATGGTCCCCAAAGCCCTTTTCTCCTCTTTCAAGCTTATCCAATCACTTCTATACGATTGATTTCTTTGATACAAAGTTCGAATAATGCTTATCCAGCCAAGATTTGTAGAAGTCCAAGAGAGTCAGGAGAGATATATGGCGTAAGATGATAATATTTATGATTTTTATTGGGCAACACAAAAAAGTCGCGAGCTCCACTTCTATCCAGATCTTTAACTTTCTGGAAAGAATCTGTTCTGTTTGCTAGATTTAGGAACAAATTTAAATTCAGTTCAGAAATTTATCACCCTAAAGTTATGTGAAGTATTTCCTAATATTACGTTATAGAGAAATATTTCTGGTACAGTACTTTGGAGATTACACGCTCAATTAAAACCATTTTATTGTATATATCATTCTACACATTTAAGTTCTTCTCAAAAGATTCATATATTGTTCAATCTCAAATCTTACATAAACAACTGCTTTCATGAGCTGTTTAAAAACATTCTCAGACTAAATACCAACAATGGCTCTTCATTTTTATAGCCCCATGCAGAGCACTCTTATCTTATAAAATATAAAACGCAGTATATTATAGACGTGTAAAAAGAATTTCAAGTTGTTTTCAATCACGTCTAATATAATTTTGCCATATTTATAATAGATGTTTACAGACAGTAAAATTTTTTACAATTGTTTCTTCTATTTACTAAATCAAGCCAAAGAAAAAAAATTTACACATTTAAAAATGTTGTTTTGCATTTCGGGATTCGTTTATTTCAATTCTTAAGCAACTGGAGCGAAGCCAATGCGGTTGTTGCCCAAATCGAACTCGGTGTAGTACTTGCCAATGAAGACATCGCCCAAGATCCAGAAGTCGGTGCCCATGAACTCGAAGCCCGACTGGCAGTCGCCATCGGACTGGATGATGTATTGAGCTGGCTCCAGGGTGAACTTGGTGCCACCAATGTTGAGGTTGAGCACGGGCATCGAATCGACAGCGGAGCAATCGACAAGACCATCCTCATCAACGTTGAGCAGATTGTTCAGGATGTCGTAGGCATCTTCAGACACAACCAGGAGAGAGGTGCCAGTATCAGCAATAGCCTGGCAGTTGTCGCACAAGGTCTGGCCATCAATGGAAATGCTGTCCACAGCGAACTGCCAGTAGCCCTGCTGGGAGATGGGCACGTAGGTCAGCTCACCGGTGTACAGAGAGGAGTCGGAGCCACCAAAGATCAGCTCACCGCCCTCGTTGGAGGTACCATCGCGAGCCAGATAGAACGAGA